CGGTTCACCAGGTGGTTCTGTGATATATTCATATGTATGCTCATATATCCCGTTTGTTGTCCTTTTCTCCCTCTCTGCCTACGGTTCACCGAACGGTTCTCTATGATGGTGTATAGTCAGCATATGTACATATGTGTGTGGCCGTTCCTTGTTTTGTGGGGGAGCTTTGCTGTTTCATGACGCGGTGTGAACCTTCAGTCTGAACGGTGTGCCCCTTGTACAGATACCTTCCCTAACGGGCAATGTGTTGGTGGTCCCCACCACCTTCGAGCGTCTCAGATGTGGTGGGGTAGTGGTTGGTGCCCCCCTGCAAGTGGGGCTAAGGTGAGTATCAGTTACAGTACGATCTGCTAGGGGACTCTGCAGACTGTCGAAGGTTTCTTGTCCTTTTCTCCCTTTCTCTGTGCTAACATATATGCATACATAGTGCATATGTACGTGTAATACACGTATAAAATATATGTATGCATAGTGTATATCTAGGTGTAATACAGAAATACGATATATATACATATACGCGCGTCGTCCTTGCGCGGAGGAGCCGTGCTAATAATCTCCTCTGTATCATCGTTCCAATCTTAACGGATGTCCCGAAGGACACGTATATATATGTATAGAAACAAGTTCATGTGAACTGCCTCTTGTCTTGCTTTTCTTGGCGCCGCCTCTTGTTTTTTCTTTGTTTGTTTCAAGAAACAAATGTGTTTAAAGGGGATAGACGAGGACCTTTTCCTGGATGTATCTGGCCGCCTTTACGGTCAGGCGTGGATGCATCTGACTGCAATTCCGTCCACAGATAAGTTGAGAAAAAGTATCTGGCCGCCTTTACGGTCAGGCGTGGATGCATCTGACTGCCACTCCGTCCACAGATAAGTTGAGAAAAAGTATCCCCTAAGTCTGTGGGTGTATATGGCAGTTGTTGCGTCGCAATGCTGTCGTCTAGTACGGAGCTGTGTGACCGGATGTATTTCAATTTTCGAGAAAATGTCAAGCCTTGCTTTTGCAGCCTTGGTACCGTGTCGCTACTGGCCACGTGGGTATTGCAGTCCACATCAGTTATCACATCTGTACGTTCGGTGGCGCGGGATTGCACGTGGCTATATGTATTTTGGTAGCTGCTGGACATGCGGCGTCTTCCGTCATGATCCACGTGGCTTTCGCACTGTGTAAAAACTTCGCTACAGGACACGTGGCTATCGTAACACACGCGTCGCTTTTGCATCCTTACAACGTCGCTACTGGACACGTTTCTGACGCGCTAGCTGCTGGACACGTGGCGTCTTCCATCATGATCCACGTGGCTCTCGGACTGTGTTAAAATTTCGCTACAGGACACGTGGCTATCGTATTCCTCGTGTCGCTTGTGCATTCTTACAACGTCGCTACTGGACACGTGCCTAACTTGGTATCTGTTGGACACGTGGCGTTTTCCATCGTGGTCCACGTGGCTTTCGCACTGGCATACGTTGGCGACAGAACACGCGGCTATCGTAATCCACGCGTCGTTTTTGCATCCGTACAACGTCGCCACTGGACACGTGGCTGATCCTCGCAGACACTGTACACGTGGCTATCATAGTCCACGTCACTTTTGCATTATTACAACGTCGCTGCAGGACACGTGGCTAATCTTGGACATGTGGCAAATCTTGGATGAAGTGGCCATCGAAGTCGACATCGCTGTCGCTTTGGAACATGTCGACACAGAGCACGTGGCTATCGACGCCTGGTCGCGTGTCGCGTCGGTCGGGGGGAAGGGGAGAGAGAGAGAGAGAGAGAGAGAGAGAGAGAGAGAGAGAGAGAGAGGGCAGACCAAATTTGTATACAAGCTAAGAGAGAAGTAAACCGAAAAGAGGTGGTGCGACGTTCAAGTTGAGAAGTAAATCGCAAGGGCATCAATATGGTTCTGTCTTTACTTTCACATCGATGTCCGCACAAATTTCAGAAAAAGAAAAAAAAAAGAAAAAAAGAAAAATAAAGAATAAGGAAGAAAAAGAAAAAGAAAGAAAAAGAAAGAAAAAGAAATCAAAGGAATGAAAAAGAACGAAGAAGGAAAGGAAAGGAAAGAACAGAGAAGGAGATTAAAAACTCGGTGCCATCTGTTTTCAATTAGATTCTCGGTGTTGTCAACGACTGTTTGACATTCGTTTAGAGAATGTGGGCAGTGGTTGGCGCCTCGCCATCTGCATGCACTTGGAGCTATGGCAGATGCTGGTGCAAAGCATCAGTGGAGGGTTCTGCAGACTATCGGGGGTGTAGCCGCCTGGTAAGCCGGCAAGACTCTGACGGGAAAAAAGTAGTGTCACAGCTCTCGTTTCCTTGTGTGTGTGTGTGTGTGTGTGTGTGTAAGAGAGAGAGAGAGAGAGAGAGAGAGAGAGAGAGAGAGAGAGAGAGAGAGAGAGAGAGAGAGCTGGCATCTGCATGAGGAGGAGGATTGGTGGGTTTATCTGGGTCTTAAAGATACATAGTACCAACTGGAACCGAATGACGCGGATGAGGAGGATTGGTGGGTTGTTTATCTGGAAGTCTGTTTTTTTTTTGTTTTTTTTTTTGAGTGTGTGTGTGTGTGTGTGTGTGT